GGACAAGTAACCCAGTAGAGAAGTTGAGAAAATTTACGGTAGATTTTTTCCGAATTAATTTTTAAGGAACTTAGGTTTATGTTTTCATGAAAACATAGAAACATTGAAACACAAATGTTTCGGGGTGCCTGCGCCTTCTTCTGGCAGATAATAATGGCGGTTTATAAGAGGATAGCCCCTTGCGAGCCGCGGATGGCCTGCCGAGCCTCTACCGGCCCGTCGTCGGTTATTCCAAGCTTTGCCGAGGCTAAAGGTTGGCTAGCCGACTTTTAGCCACCTTACGGCCTGGCGGACATGCCCTACCTAAACGCCGAGCCGGCCGACGTAGGCGGGCCGCACACGGCAGTTCGGCAAATCGCTTTCGTTCCGTTGTCGGACCAGCCAGTTTGTGTTTGTTGGGATCACACTTTTTATGCACAATTTGGATTAATCACGAGGGCAGGAGACAGGCATGTCTACCACAGGCTAAAATTTCTTCAATCCACTCAGGTAACATGAATGTTTACCAGAACTAAAATTTTCCCAATTACTCGAAACAAATTGAGAAATAGGAGGGTTTGAATAACTGATTCAGCAGCAGCAGAATATCCATGTCTCAACACGCCGAGGAAATAATTATTCTACCAATGAATATCGTTTGCTATAAGTAGGTACTCCTAATTGAAGCCTACAGGCTTATGCCAATGACACTCAATGTTTGCAATATTTTGATGCTGCTGAACCTGTCATGGCCTTTAGACTTTTGCTTAATGAGTTCATCTCCTAATATTCAGAAGAACACAATCTGGAAGTCCTGGATCTGAATACAGTCCTGTAGGAAAATTTGCGTTGGGAGATTTTTTTTTCTGGGATGTTTTGTAATTGTCTTAGTAAGTATATAGTGCTTCCATGTCCAATTCTGGTAGCAGACAGCCATTAAGCCCATATGAAAACACTTTATCAATTATCAATAAGCCTGGGCCGCGAAAGCCTCACAAACTTTATATATTTTGAGTTTGGACATCCACCAACTGGTATCGGGTCTTCAAAAAAAAAACCAATCAAAGATTGCTTTGGTTACGAAAACGTATGTCGCATTATTGTTTCTTTATTGGTCAGGATTTCTGACATAACATTTTGACATTAAAGTTCATTGACAAAATTAAGGAAAAATATTGCTAAGACATACGTTTAAAAACCCATAGCAATCTTTGATTGGTTTTTTTTTGAAGACCCGATACATTTCCCAAATATGGCGTCATCAAAGTTGGCGGCCGTGAGCAACAAAGCTGCTCATATTTATGTTAATATATTATCGATTTCAATGAAATTTTCAATTTTTGTCATCGAAGGTTATACGGGGAGGGATAATTTATCATCTCCACTGCCCCCTTATTCCCTTTTTCCCCAAAACCAGGAAAAATATTGAAAATACTACGTGAAATAATAGGGATGTATTATTGATAAGAAACTAAATATCTATTGTTGTCGAAATGACTTACCATTACCTTTCAAAGCTTATTTTCCCCCTCCCTCTAGGGCCCGTTTACCCCCGGAACTTACTTAGGGAGTACAGAGACAAGCTACCGGCATTTTTATAGATATTGCCCACATTCCATTACCTGTCCAACCCAGCAGTTTTCGGGGATCAGAAAAGAACATACTGAAACCGATGATGCATTAACTTAAATATGAGCAGCTTTGTGTTAGCACTGCCGCCATATTTGATGACGCCATATTTGGAAAATATACCAGGTGGTGGATGTCCACCCAAGTTAAAAATACTTACTAACATATCTACTAAACATTTCCAAAAAAAAAATCTCCCTACGCAAACTATCCTACGGGACTACAGTCAAGGGCTGGATTAAAACTCAATTAAATTTTTTCTGTAAAAAAAATCAGAGGGATGTATCGCAAGAGCCGGAGTATTCGGGCCACGAACCAGATATACTCGGAGCCAATGGGCAAATCACCAAGCATATTCCAAGCCGAACTTCATGCGATCGGAAAATGCGTGCAGTTCAACCTGAACAGAAGGTACCGAAAACGAGAAATTGTAATAATGTCTGACAGCCAAGCAGCTATCAAAGCATTGAGCTCGCCGGTAGTCAATTCTAAGATAGTATGGGAATGTCTACAGAAACTCAATGAGCTGCGGAAGCAAAACGAAGTAACCCCACTATGGGTTCCTGGACACATAGGATTCGAAGGCAATGAATGCGCAGACGAACTTGCAAAAACGGAAGCGGTCACTTCCTTCACTGGGCCAGAACCATTCTGTGCGGCGTCGGAAATGCGCATCTCCAAGAAATCCTTAAAAAGGAAGAGAACCGGCTAAGGAACAAACAATGGCTAGACCAACCAGGACTACGACAGGCCAAAGATCTATTGGGTGGCTACAACCAAAAAATATCGGAACTGCTGGTCAACCTTAGCAAGAAAAGTCTCAAAGCTGTAACCGGGTTTCTCTCGGGACATTGCAGACTGAATAAGCACCTACATAATCTGGGGTTGGAAGAAGGTAACACTTGCAGATTCTGTGAAGACGGTGAAGAAACACCTCACCATCTTCTACTGAACTGCGATGCCGTAAGCCGCTCAAGAATGAAGAACTTGGGAAGTCCCCTTATACAGCTGGAAGACATTCCAGCCCTGGAACTGCTAGACATCCTAAAATTCCTAAAGGACCTAGGACTAGAGGGGCTGCTTTAAGCAGGAAACCCGAACTTAGCAGCAGAAGGAGGGGTACAATAGATCAACCTTGGTCGCAGTGCAACTGACACCTCCAACACATACATACATACATACATACATACATACATACATACATACATACATACATACATACATACATACATACATACATACATACATACATACATACATACATACATACATCGCAGAGCTATCTTAAGCTCAATTTGTCCTATGAAAACCTTAATTTTATCGAATGTATTTAAAATTTATTGCGTAGGTGGTAAACCAACCTACATATGTAGGTAGGTATATACCCACCTGCAGATATACACTTGAGGTTTCCAGAACGTGTAAAGCAGTTTCTCCAAAAGTCTTTAGTGAAAATGAAAATTTCATGATTCTTTATTTTGTCGGTATTCAATTATGGACATAAAATATATTGTGTACATTGTGTAGTTTCAATAAATGGATTGCAATATATTCGAATAACCTATAAGTATCTTTGCTATAAGATAATGTACCGCTTTGATTTCATAATATAGGTAGGTAGCTGCCATGATTCGAACTGGCCTCAGGAAATTTAGAGAATCTGAGTGATTCTAAACTGGCATATTTTGGGAAAAAAACTTTTATTCCGACAGGTCATCCATAACCGTAACTTGAGACATTGGGAAAGCTAAACTTACGTCGGATAAACTTTTTTCACAGTTTATCTAAAATGTCTGATGCTTTTAGAATATTGTTTATTGGATTCAAAATATCACATTCTAGATCAGTATTTTTTTTCTTGCCCAGTACCTATTTCCTATAGTTTGAGCACCAGACAGTTCGATTTAGCTTACATAAATTCCATCTAAAAAAAATCTGTGTAATTATGCATAGAACATGCCGGACAAAAGCCATCATAAACGCCGAATGCAAATTATGTCGGTTCTCATAATACACACACAGATGGGTTCTCTGTTTTTTTATTAATTTATTTTTTGTTCTATGGTCCTGACTTTCTCATTATAACTATTTTGTTTAAAATTTTCCAATTTAGAATAAATGAAGATGTTTGAAAACGAAAAGGATTTATGCACGAGCAAAAATTTCTCACGCTTTTCAAAATAATTTTATCCCTCTTTACGGAAAAAAAGCAATCCAAAAAAAGCACAAACGGCACCCTGTATTTACCCTAATTTAGTAATCTACATCATCCACTGGCACAATCACAATGTGAGGATTTATAAGTTAATCTATACTTTTTTGGGTAAAAAACCCACAAAGGTATAGGTAACCCAGAAAAGTTAACTTGTTTTTTTTGAAAGACCACGCTCCAAAATGTTCTAATATTCATTTACATAATGGAAAAACCGTTCAGGGGTAACCTTAATTCTATTTTCCCCTGGTATTGGCATTTTTATGGTCATTTTAGGGTCAAATTTAATCTTGAAATTGAGAAGGAGAGTAGCGCGCGACGTAGCCATCTGGCTATTTTTTTGCCAATTTATTCATTTTTTTTTTAAATATACCGATACATATATAATATGGGGTGAAATGTATGCATTGTAAGAAACCCTGATAGGACAATGTGTGGTTTTTTAGAAGAAAATGCAAAAAAACTTAACTCATGAATCTTCACCTGATTGTGGTTGGGATGATATAGTATTACTGATTTAGAGTAAATAGAGGGTGAATTTAGGGAATGTTCTTTTTTTTTTTAAGGGAAAAATTGGTTTGAAAACCGTGAGAATTTTAATGTGTGTATCCAAACAAAACCACATAAAATGTTTGAATTCTGAATCATTAAACCACAATCTTTGATTATATTAGGTTGGCTTAAGGTTAAGGCCAGTTAATTTTGGCATTTAATTATTCTCCTAATAGATTATTGATATTTCTGAGAAATTATCTCAAAGAATGCACGTGTAGGTGTTGTTAACCAAAAATTCATTAACATCGTTAAGTTGCCATACTATCCATCTCTTTCTGTCTCCTAAAAGAGCGCCATATAATTAGATTTTGCGGCAGTTCTTCGAAACTTTGTATCACTGACCGCTTAACCTTCTCTCCTTTCGGACCTCCCGCTTATGCGAACTCTATTTCTTTTTGTTTTCATTTGATTTTTTCATTTTTGCGAGGTGTGCGACGATTTAAAACGTATTAGCAAAGTCTGTATTAGCGGCTCGTTTCTCTGATGCCGTGTTTTGACATGGTTTGGACTTTCAGGCTTAGTTTGTCAAAAAGAAATACATACCTAGGTTCATATTTATTTATTTTTTTAATCACCTAACGCACATTAAATTGCAAAATAAATATATAATATTAGCCAAACAAAAATTCTAATGCTTTCTATCCAGAATTTTAACCACAACATCCTTATTTTTAGGTTCGTAAGAAGGACGCAAATAAACTTTTCTTTCCTCGCCTGGTTGGACGATATACACCTTCTTTTGCACAGGTTTCCTGGATTCGTAACTCCTGAAGTTGGGTTCGTATCTGACTATTTTGTAGTCTTGTTCAGGCTCTTCCACGTAGACCACTTTTCTTGGTGGATCTTTGTAGTATTCTTCACCTGCTGCCAAGATAATTACAGCCAAAAAACAGAGAATCTAGAAAGAAATTCCATGTGAAATAGTGCAATAATTGACAAATTAGATAATCGTGGAAATAAAGTGATAATCTTTGGATAATTAAAAAAATATATATTGTTATTTAGCAGAAGAGAATGCTCATTTGCGTTATGTAATGAGTTCTATTACCGCACTAGTGCGGTAATGAATCATCACACATTCATTATCGCACTAGTTCGGTGAGAAGTGATTATTTTTAATATAACTCCACAATCGAGTACACAATAGTTATTTATAACAGACAAACGACAATAGTCACTTATTGTGCAGGTCGTAGATAAAATTTTGTATATCACACCTACGGTAAGGCTCATTACAACACCCGTGTAGTTACCCTTCTCGTTACTGTAATGAAGCTCATACCGTACTAGTAATATAATAGTATATTATTTAATGAATGTGGTAACTAGGTTATTAGCGCACGCGAGAGAAATTTGCAAACCTAGCCGGTGAGGCGAGGTTTGTAATCTCTAAGGGCGGTAATAACCTAATTACCATACGTATTATATACAGTACTTTATCTACAACCGTGCGATAAAAAATATCCGAAAGGAGTTTAAAACATTATAAAAAAAAAAAATGCTTCTGTCACCTTTGTCAGTAGACAAGTAGAATTTAGGTGATAGGTAGGTAATTTATCTCTGCTAGGTAATTGAAGGTACGTACCTATGTAGGTAGAGCGTGCGGTAATATGGTACTTACCGCATGCAAAATCGTGTAATATGCCTACCTACCGCACGCTTGTAGATAAATAACTAGTACATTACAAGTGCGTTTATGAACATGATAACAATAACGAGTGTGAAAGATTAGAACGACGAGGTCGTAGACCAAGTCGTTCTCATTACACGAGTTTTGTAGTTATGTTTAAACGTACGTGTGATGTACAACGTTTTATCTACAACGCGAAAAATAGAAAAATGTATTTTTTTTTTAAATTTCCGTTTATTAGTAGTTGTCTACCTTCATTTTATCTTTACAGGTTTAACTATGACATTTGTCAAATCACAAAAACTAGTTGTGTTATAGATTCATAACCTAGTCCATAACATCCTGTTAGTTGTGTTATGGAGTCTCATGACATAAAAATGAAAAATGGTTATGTAAAAACGTCATTCAAAATGGTTTTAATTTTTCACAATAGATTATAATATTTATAATTTTTTCGAATAAATGAGTTTTGAAAAGTGCCGTTTTTCAATAAAAAATAGTTACTGAATGAGCTCATTACATCATTAGTACGATAATACAACTTATTACGTAACTCAAACAGGCTGAAATGAGTTACGTAATGAGCTCTTACAATGTGGGTCTTTCATAAAAAATATCACAAAATTGCATAAAGCCCGTATTTCATCTGTGTATCTTTCCGTGTATTTCTTCTATTCATGTAGTTCAGGGTGACAACCGAAAAACTTCAAATGCAACATAAATCAGCATTATGAAAAATAAAATAATTTTGGCACCCTGAACTACATACTAAAGTCTGTTTTTTTTTTTAAAGAGAATTTCATACATCTGTCAAAACTGGTATTCCAACAATAAATTGACATGTTTTGATTGTTGATTTAAACCAATCAGATTGTAATTACGCGATAATTTGCACTAGTGCAAATTATCAGATAATTGCATACTAACTGGTGCGAAAACTGGTGTTTTGACATTTTTTGACAAAAAATTTAAATTTTTGATTTATGAAATTCTCTCATTAAATACAACTCGTGCAATGGAAATATATTTATAATTTTCGACAAATTTGCACTCATGCGTTTTTAACTTCGGGCAAATTTCCCAAAAATTATCAATAATTTCCATTGCACTAGTTATATTACTATTGATAATTCCCCAAGTCAAAAAAATTTGCATTGACAATTTTACATTGTATTGCCAACATAATGTCATTTTGACTTTTATCTTTAAAAAAAAAACACACTTTACATGAAAAAATACACGGCAAAATGCACAGATGTAATACGGGCTTTAGAATGGTAGTGCTTGGTAATTAAATATGGAGTTGAGACCTTAGCAACACAAGCAAAACTATTAAACAAACTATGTAGGTACAAACGAAGGATGTGGCTACTGACACAATTTTGAAATCAAAAGGAATAGATATCATGGAGGCCAAAACCTAAAACCAGGATGATGATAGGATGACAATAACAGGAAGAAAGAGGGGGCGAATGCTTAATCATAGACAAGAAACACTGGATAGAGAGTCTGAAAATTGGAAGAAAGATGATACGATGGTTTTTATTTAAAAGTTACTGAAAACTATTAACCATTAAAAATAATAATGTCAACCTTCATCTACATTATCAAAATGGCGAGTCCAAATAATGTGGATTGAGGTATAAGGAATATCTTACAGCATTAAACCTAAAAATACTCTGTATGTCGATTAAATAAAGCAATTGCAGGTATTGTTACACGGGTCTGTACATACAACTAGTTTTTCATTTCATTAAATTACTAGCTGACCCGGCGAACTTCGTACCGCCTCTGAATTATTAAATATACCTATTAAATGTTGTGTTAACGCATCTATTAGCTGAAATAAATTCGGTTTTTTTCGATGGTGAATTTGGCTTTGGTTGAAGAAAATTAATGTTCACTCTCTGGATCAGAAGTCACCTAAAATTAAAATTTTACATCATCTTTTTTTAGGCAGCTTGTGGGCATTATTCTTGTAAAGTGTACCACCAAATAAATAAACTCAGGCACAGGAATGTTCAAACAATGTAAAGAAAACAAAAAAAAATCTCTAGCGCAGCCCTGTTTCACTCTATCTGCACTGCATGCACTGCACTACTCCATCTGTTCTACTCTATCTACACTACTCTATCTGATCTACTCGACCGATTTTGTGCAAACTTCACATAAACCATCTAATATATAGGTACTCCGAACAAAGCCTAAACATTTGGTTTGGCTAGGTGAGCCCGTTCTTGAGTTATAAAATTACAACAAAAAGGGGCATTAATTTTTATATATATAGATATATATAGATTTGAGCTAGGCTAGATAAAGCATTGATAAATTGATATGTTGAACGCTTAGGCTAGCAGATATAGATAACTGATACCACTGATACATTGTTCGTGTGCTTGGTCAACAACTTTGCTTGCGATGCTGTAAAATTTCTTCTATAGAATCTCATGAATTGGCTTATTGCAATTTGAAAATAATTCTAGAATATTTATTGACATCTCGGCATTTCTAGAGACGGTTTCTCCTTATTCTTCTTGACATCTTATATAGTGGCACAATTAGAGAACTGTTTCTGTGCAACTATGATTTAAAATATGATTGCAGTATGTAAACAATTATTGAAGGATGATGGAAGATGGTACGAAGACATTAGAAGAATTACATTTCAGGTGGGTGTATGTTGAATGATGGATATTGTCTGATAAATTGACGAAGTATGATATAAAATTCATTTAAAACTAATTGACAAGAACTACTTCAAAAATGTCTAAAAACATAACGACCAGTCTGAATAGAATAGGTAAAATATAAGGAACATGAGTAGAAACATCTCACATCAGAGACGGAAAGAGAGAGATTGTTGAATATAGCCAATATACGAAGACAATCGGAATATAGAGTGGAATTTAATGTTTGAGCAGGAGTTCAATGGAGCTCCGTCTGAGGAACATGAAGATTTTTTCAGTATCCATCTCAAAAAACAGCAAATTTGACGATACTGCCATTATTGAAACGAACTTCACCCTTTCTTTTCCTTCAAACTGTGCTTTCATTATAAGGCCATTTCTACTTTGAACTTTCAAATTAAGAGGGCTGAGCTGAATATAATTGACATGAAAGTTTATAAATTCAAGTTACGCTCAACATAAGCAACTCCGGAAACTTGCTGATGATATTATTGAATCGGGAGAATCACAGATACCTAACCCTCTGAAGAAATTTGTTGTTTGTTGTCCTCAAGCTGTTTTTTGAGTTTAAAGGCGTGATCTATATCACACAATAAACTTCAGAGCCTTATTGTCAGTATAGCAAGTCTATAATCTCCCCAATAATTTCCACAAATGCTAACCGTCCTTGGAAGATAAATATCTACCTAATGTTGTTCAGAGTAAAAAATTTGGATAGGTAATTACTTAAACAATCTGACTTACCCCAATTTTAATCATTTTTAAATAATTGGATTTTTACACAAACTTTGGACAAGTAAAAAATGTAAGTGAAGAAAAACAAATAATTAGTCTGCATTTATACTAAACCCATAAACCTTGTGCAATAATAAATGTGAGTAAAATAAAATTGAGAATGCATTGTTGAAAGGCGATAATTGGAAAAAATCAATGCAAATTCTAATTACCTAATTATTAAAAATCAATGATAAAGTTTCGTTTGTTAATCTGTAAAGAGGAAACATACATTGTTTTAATTGATTAAAGGAATTGATTACCTATTAGGATTAATTACTTCATGATTTTTTATAAGTACCCATAGTAGCTAATTAGGAAGCATATTATTCAAATTTAAAAATTTTACAAAACACGTAGGAGCTCAGTTAGACACTAGAAAATACTAATCTAAATAATATTGATTTCAAAAAATTAGTTTTAAAAAGACTTGAAGTATTTATTAAACCATGTATTTCAAGTACTCACTTATTATTCCGTATTTTACTTGAAATATGTAGGTAGTCTACGTATCAAGACTTATTAGAAGTATTAGAAGAAGGAATAATGATCGTAAAAACAAAAAATCTAAAATAACTGACAATGTGTTGGTATATAAGTTAGATAATTGCACTGAATAGATACTATTTTCAGAGTATTCTATATGCTTTTCCTCTATGTAATTTAGGGTTTATTCTCTTCCTCCGCTGTTGCTGTTACTACCAGACGGCGCAGCCTATACTGAAGGTGTTCAATGAATGCCCTTTGTCGAGAATAATTCTAATTAATGCTGTTCAGCATAGTTTATTTCTGGCCTCATCGCAAATATGAGTTTGTCTTGGAAATCAGCAACATAAGCTTAACATAGAAATGATAGGGAGGTATTGCTCGATCACCCGATTGTGCCCTGGCCATGATATTTTCCAGGCAGAAATGAAAAATAGTCCATAGCAACTATGAGGTAGGTACTCTGTCTTCGACTCTGTTATAGGAAGAGGACCTGCGAAATTTACTCCAATTGTCTCCCAAGGGGAACCAGACAAGTATTGCTTCTCCTCATGATTACATCTTGTATCCTTTTGTGGAAACGCAGAGGTTGCATCTTCCTCTCGTATTTCCTCTTCTGTTCTATTCGGAATTTCTTCCGAACCAACATTGTAGATGCGGACTGTCTGATGTGTGTAGGACAGCGGTCTACAAACTAGTGTCAAACCTTAAGATATGTTTAAAAATTTCCTCATCTTTCATTTTGGCAATTATTCTTTTTCTTCCTACCAAAAGTGTTGATTTGGAAACCATCATATTAGAGTTTTCTCTAATTATTGATACTCCGTTGTATCTCATGATACTGTTTTTTCTTTCCTTTTATAACTTTGAGTATGCTGGGCTTAGTTTATTATTGTCTCTTGTTGTTTTGGCTCTCAAACAATTTTTGAAGTGAAACTTCGCGGCGGTCTGATGTTTGGACGAGAATGGAGAGTATTTTGAAAGACTCAACACGTTTTGGCAAATTTTGTTACACGAGAGAGAAAAAAGATATAACGTAGAGAGACAGTCAATGATAATGACAGTCGACGAACGATTGACACAAACCAAGGATCTTAATTCAAGAGAATTGCCTGTTATTGTCAAGCACCGATACCCTTGTGACGTCACTACAGAAGCGCGTCTCCCTTTTGTGTGGTCCTTCGCCTTTACCCCAACTTAAACGCTAGGTCTAAAAGATGTATTTGTGGGGGATAGTTTTTAACAAGCTTCACTTCTAACCACGTGTACGGCGTTACACATGATTTTTTTTAGTTATGTGTGGTCGTCTTTGTTTATTCAAGTTGTGAATGAATCTGAATTCAGCGCTTTTTGGAACGTTTCTTTGTGCATGTACATTTCATTTGAAGTTGGGAAAATATGCTTTTTAAGTACAATCTATACTACGTAGTTTTGGTTTTTTTATTTTCAGATTTAGGTAATTTGCAGCTCACATCAATCTGTGATAGGTCATTGCTTTCCGTGTCAAATGGATTTAAAATTGAACAAGTATTTCTCCTAGTGCAGAGAATGTATTTTATCTCGGTTATCGCATGCACCGTTTGGATTTGTCCTAATTGTCCTTCATTGTTGTTGCTTTAAACAATAGAGGTTCTCAGCTACAATTAAATTGAGTAGGTATAGTTGAATTCTTGATAGAGTTTGAATTTTGACCGTTATTTTCACCAGTTGAAAGTAAATAAAATCCTCAGATCTGTCCCTTTTTCTGTAAACTATCACATAATGATACATGACGTCGATTTGACATATAAAAATATCCATTTGAAATAACTCAAAGATGAAATTCTACGAATTTCTAAACCTCCAAACTTTATGGACAATTTACAAACTGAACAAGATCTTCCATCAAATGCAGTTTGTATTGTTTTTTGACATATTTATCTACATACCGGGTGTCCCACCGAAAACTGTCAATGGCCTATATCTTGAAAATGTTGAAAACGGTAATCGATAAAAAAAATGAAAAACCCGTTTGGAGGGTTGGAAGGGAGAACCAAAACAAAGTACTTCTCAGGTCTCCCTGAATCACCCCTCCGGCCGTAACTACCCTAACCTTAAAATCTTAAATGGCACTATGGGTCATGTGATACCTTGATTGAAAGGTTTTTTAATTCTCTGAACGAATCTGCAAAAAAAAAATTATCTAGATATAAATTTAAATTGTCACAAAATGGCGCATGCTTCGAGTTACCAACTTTGCTCTCTTGAGGAGGTGAACACTGTCAGGTACAGTGAGAAAAAAGAGGTTCAAAAAAATAAAATCTTGATGATTTCTTCAAAAATATTCATGCTGTTATTCAATTTTAGTTGGGGGGCCTATGGCTTAGGCCTATGGTCAGTTTTCTCCTGCCGTGGCACTTTTAATGATGAAAGCATGCGGTTTTTTTTGTTCCCCCTAGAAAACCGAATAGAAAAACGTGGTATATATTAACACTCGAAAATTTAGTGCAGTGGCGTCGAAAAAGGGGGTATAAAAAAAATAAGAAAATTGTTTAGGCAACTTTCTAAATAAATTTTGAATAAACACTGGGGGCTTTTAATATTTTACAAAATACATAAAAAAAAGGAAAGGAGTTAAACATATTTTATTATCAAAGTATTTTCAGCTATTTTTCAAGGCACAAAGTTACCTATTTTCTTAGTTTGTGTCCAAGAAATTAAGGTCTTTTTTCGAAGGAAGCTATTTTCTTGGGGGATAGATGGCACACTCTTGGGGGTGCTGGCAGTGCCCCCTGTAGGTATTTGAGCATTTCCCAGAGTTGGGCCGGAGAATAGCAAAGTAAATGTTCTGTGTTTTCAACTGCCGCTTTTGTTTGTGGTGTTCAACTGGCTCGTTGGCTCTGCGAGAGGATATGGAAGGACTTTCTCAGGCTTGCGTGAAGTCGGTGGAGTCTGAATGCCGACCATGGATTGCGAATCAGAAGGAGTAGAGTCCATGCAAATGATGTACAATAAGCCACAATGAGCTTCAGTGCAGAGCATGGGCTCGAAAGGGCGACAAAGAAAAAATCTGTTCATGTGTGGATAGGATTTTTTTTGCCCTCTTTTGTGGCTACTCATTTTGCCTGTCTCAGTCCTAGAGTTTGTCTCCAGTATGTGGACAATTGGTCCCTCTCCCTACATATCATAATTCGTTTGTTACGTGGTCTTCATTAGGCCGCAAAATGGTGTTTTAGCACCTTATTCACGAGACTGGCTATGCTTTCTCGTGACCTGCACCCACATCAAGGTTACCAGGTTGCGCATCGTTACTAGTTTTAGGCTCTGGTAGCATTCCCAGACTAGCTTCGATACGCATGTACAGGCCTTCACAGCTTTTAGAGCCGCTTGGCTGTCTGATAGTATCAATACGTGTCTTTTGATTTCGACACTCTTGTGCACAAATATTGGTTGCAAGCAATTCAGCTTGGAATATGGTTGGATATTTGCCCAGTGGCTGGGATACCTTAAAGTTGCTGAAATGCCAGCACAGCCAATCCAGCTCCGTTCGCTAGATTAGAGTCATCTGTGTATCTCAGCGAGGTGTTCACTGCATGCTGTAGCTCTTTATTCTCCCATATTTGGCGAATGTTGATTACCACAGCGATTGGAATATCTAGGTGAGACCGTATTTGCACAGGTGACCTCTCAGATCTCGAGGCTTGAATTTATTTGAACACAGGAAGAATTTTTGTCGGTTAAGATAGCGAAACTAATTTCACTAAGAAAAATCTTTGAAATTGAAGTCAATGGAGAATTGTAAAATTGGAGTTAGTGCAGGATTCGATTGATGGCCGAAAATCTGCCAGGTGGGTTGGTTGGCTCAGTTGGTAGAGCTTCGTACTAGCAATGCGATAGTTGCGGGTTCAAATACCGCACTTACTCCGATTTTTCACTTTTCATTGAATCTTTTTCACACTTAGGTGAAGTGAAGGCATGTTACCACATTACCTCTGTTATTCCTAGATAAATTAGCCTTTGAACCTTCTTTAGTTTGTTCTGAGATATATGTGACCATGGGCTTTAATCAATGTCTGGTAGAGAACCAGTATACCACTCTAGGTTTTAGCTTCCATGTCTTACCAACAAGTTTGCGGCATGTCCAGATAGCCGTTACCGCTCAAGAAAGGTTTGACTGTAAGAGCTGTGGTACGAGACATGGTTATAGACAGTGCCCTACTTATGGTAAGCGTTGTAGACATTGTAGGTACTCGTTATGATCCCTTTGAGGTTATGTGTCCTAGTAAATCAGGATCAGGTAGCAGTAAACAGAAGCAAGTAAGGGAGGTTCAAGAAGCTGATGCTGATAATGAGTCTGATGGTGAGACTGTTGAATAAATCTAAGGTTGAATATGTGGTATCGTCAATATATGTTTCAATGGGATAAAAAATTGGTAAAGAATGGCTGTTCCAGAATTTTTGATCCAATGTGAGCCCTGAGTATTTCACCTTATTGGAAAATGTTAAGGTTCTCTTAAGGGTAGGTGCACGGATTTTCAGCT